GTTATCAATCCGAACTCAGTAAGCAAAAATAGCATGAGGTATAAGCTGATTCGACGTCTACGTATACCCCGTGTTGTGTGAGTCCCCTGTTGAATCACATACATGTGCATACAGCGCAAACCAGTACTTGAACTCCTAGTCCAACTTGTCACTAATTCCCATTTTCTCATTTTGCCTCCCACAACTAAACTATTGCCTGCTGGATTCTCATTCTCGTCTATCTCTGTACCGTCTCTTTCTTCTAATCCTAAATCCGTCAGAATTAAGCTCGGCGATAGAGATAGTTCACTTGCCAACTGTCGGAAACCGAATGTTCTATAAAAATCTTCCCGGATGATTGATCCAAGCAAACTGAAAGACACGACCCAAATGATACTTCGCTTCGGCAGTCAAACTGCAAAGACATCTTTGCTTATGAGACGTTGATGTGCTCTCGAACGCCATCCGTCCCTTCCTGCAGAACGAGCGTACTGGACCCCACTGCCACCAGATTATAGTATTGGAAGAAAAAGTACTCGTCTAATATTTCAGTATTATCAGGCCACGGGAGGTATTAGCTGTGAATTTGTTCTTCCTTCTCTTGATGTCGACGGGACCAACCAATTTCTAGGCCGTTCTGGAGACGACATATCATTTTTTTCTATTTTTGTTCGACACAATTACAATAGTTTGGCTCAATCAGTTTTACGAATGTCTTGGGACTAGTGTCGTGTTCATTCACGCTCATAGTATGGTAAAAGCTATCAAATGGTCAAACGCTAATTCTATTGAGAGCTACGCTCTAGGCATGGCCGTGTATATAAACTCTTTATATTCTTCTTTCCAGATCGACTTATCTCCTCCTCGTCCAGCTTACAGTCCGGATCCCACTGCCACAATACAGACACGATTTTCCTAACGTGCCTAATCGATCTCTCCAGTTTTCCCTCGTTACTACTATATCAACCAGTCTAGACCTCAGGGAATTTGCTGTAATCACCGAACCTTACCGACGGGATATCTTCTCACTTAGTGCTTCGAAATACGAAAGAAAAGACACGTCAAAAGTTTTTACTCCACACGAACACTTGGACCCTTTCAAAAATGCCTACCGAAAAATCCCAGAATCCCTGCTCCGCCGAAGATTTCACCCAAATCACTGTGGCTACTGCTAAGTGCGACGTATGCAACAAAAGAGATAAGAAGACCATGAAGAGATGCAACACCTGCTCCTTCCAGCTATGTGGAAGTTGTTCCCTCAAGTCAGGGAATGACGGCTGCCATACCGGACAGTAGCCAATCTCACTATGACACCCCGAACCTTTACCAAACCGATATCGTACGTTTTAGAAGAGAAGAACTTTTTAAACGCGGGGTAGCATCTTTTCTCTGAAAACATTGTGTGGGAGGCTGGGGGAGGAGGGTTGAATCTGTCGTGGTATGGACGGGCCTGTACGGATATCATCCTCTTGTGTTTTGTGTATGACTGTCTGTGACTGCACTACCGAGGAAAAAAAACATGGGATCTTCTTTCTCTATTTCTTTCTTTCTTTCTTCTATTCTTCCCTCATACATCATTATCTCATATTATTTGTAACTACTTTCATGTCGGTCTCTCTTTTGTCTGAACACTTAAGTACTTGCATTTCTTTGATAAGAATTGTACCTGTAGTCATATGTATGACTTTCTGAAAATTAATCAAAATGATCATTTATGGGAATTGAGGTCACCTAGAGTTTAAACCAAATATTGCATAATCTATTGATACTTGCTACAATTAGGGTTATAGTACCAGCCAAAATTGGACGAACGTATTGTATGCCACTTCTTTTTTAAAAAAGTAGTCACTGTGAGACATATGTAGTAGCTTCCCATTTACATATGGCTAGCGTGAAAGATGAATAGAAAACTTCTGTATAAATATTTGCGTCTTTGTTTCACCCACTGTCGTATTAGTACATGCATATATGTATAGTGTTGATGTTTCTGTTTGCCATTTCTCCATGAGGCAAAGTATAGCCTAGCATCGATATTGATCTTTATGCATTTATAGATGCATAAAGAGGGCTTTAGAAACAAACGCCCAAACTCTTTCCAGGTTTACGGTTTTTACTGTCTTTCCGGTCGGGTGATTTAGTCTCTTCCTATCTCCTTTAAGGAAGCTGTTTCGGCCAATCAAGGAGCTTATTATCCCAGGTTTCGATTTGAACAGCACTTTGGGCTAGCCTGTAACCATATATATAGCCGTCCCGCAATGATAAACCAATGATATCTGCCGCTCTTTAGTGAGTGCTTTCACCAATAAATTATCCACTCAGTTCACGTGTCAGCCATTTAGATTGATGTTACACCCCGAGTTCTTATGAGTGTTACTGGTGGTTTTAAGAATTAAAGTGGCGTATGATGGATGGATAGGGTTTTGGGTTGAAAGACAAATACAAATTTGCCTTCTTGTCGCCAAAGTCTAGGCCTGCGTGAAACGAATGATATATGTGCATCAATATTTCTTTCCCAGAAAATGGAAAACGATAGGCGCTAAGTATTAAAGTAGATCACAGGACTGGTGCTCAGTAACTTTGTGGGGGATTTTTGACCCAGAGCGCTGGGAGGTGCTCGGGTCTTCCTTCTGCTGTAATCACTCTGTGGCCGTAGAATCATGTATTCATACAGCATGTTGTGGTTAATAGGTGTTTGTGCTATCATTTACCAAAACTCATTCATCAAAACTATATCATGGATTCGTTGACTTAGTATAGCTATAGTACCAACAAATCATAGTCAATCACTCGTTAGTATAAAACATAGCGGAGCAAAACCTGTAGGGTATATAACTACATGTATACTTGTATTCTCTAGAATCCTAGCATATTAGGGAATAGTTCTTGCTGGGAAATGGAATCGGGATTGTATACGTACCTAGCCACCTCCCCATATATGAATTCTCTACTATATATACTAGGAGTGTTTGGGAGTACCATATATGCTGTATATACCACGCCGTGCACAGATTATCCCTCTTTATGACTCTAATCAGCGGGGAGTTTCAATTTCTGGTTCAATGTTCCAAAGTCTTTTTGTTTGGCGAACTTAGCGCACAATCTCATCTCATCACACTTTAGACTAGGTGTCGTCGCCCGGTCGATAACACAGGTATGCACACATAAGGTTTGGTCGATTTACAGCGTGGCACAGGTTTTTCACGATATAGCCCATGCTCCGCTGATGGTGTACATGTACGTGCGCTCGGGAAAGGTTTGAGCTGACACAGCTCATGGGTAACCTTCTCCGAACGACAGCTAGTCAGTGCCTGCTCCAAAGTTGAACCCAGTAAGTTTGGGAAGGCGAGCTCGACCCCGAGGACAGCGACCGACCTATAATCACATATTCGGCTTTCCAGGCTACAGCGCTCTCCAAAGAGACCGGGCGAAGACAACTGCGTGATAACTCGAGCCTTGTGCACAATTGGTCAACCTTAAGCTGGCTATCTGGGTTCAACTCGCTGCTCAGCCTTACCTGGAAACTCCTCTCGGCGTCGCCAAACATCCAAAGGTCTTAAGATTAAATCACGTGGAAGTTGTACCATGGCAGCATCATGTATTGTATAATGGCTTGTAAGGAGGACACGGTGATGTCTTTGCTGACACTCAACGAGCGCCACTGGATATGCTAGGATAGAAGTGTTGGATTATGCTGATGTTGATAATATCAACAGTAAACCTACCAGAAGGTTTATCGCCTGCCTAGTTTCCCACACTTTATTGACATAAAGTGTTAGTTGGTCTCAATGTCACGTCACTCCCGAAAGGTGTCAAGTGAACCCTTGGCCTAAACCCAACCATGGGGTTCTCTCGCGCACGCACATTGTAATTGCACAAAGTTTGGTAACATATCCCACCGATCTCTCATCGAAATTCAGGCCTAGGTACAGAGTAAGGTTTTACATATAGCCGTTTTGGACAAACGAATTTTGTCGACTATGGATATCCATCACTGCCTACCAACCTTCGGCCGGTTTCGATGAATATATCTATGCAGTGCAGTTTGATGATACTAACCCAAGGCATGTTTGTGTTGTGATATTCGTTTCTTGTGCTTCATTAACAAGTAATAATAGACTATCTCTACTCTGCAGATCTGACTAAGTACTATTTCTGGATCACTCGGCATCACTCGCTCATGGTTACATGTACCCCTTGGTCTCCTGATGTAGCAAACACACCATATGCACCTAACCAGGTTTACCGCCACGACCTACTACTCCAATGTATATGGCTCTCAACAACAACTGCAAAATTGCCCTACATATCACTGGGTACCACCCTCCACTGAGGAAGGTAGAGAAGAAACCAATCCTATCACATCATTGATACAAAGAGGGAAATCGTGTTAATCATTGTCCCCCAGATTAATAATTACAACTACTTCCAGGATAATAGAGTAAAAAATTCAGTCGACTGCGTGTATAGATGTGATACCCCCCTCAAAAACTTGATATGAACTCCCACCAAAACAAAAGAGCAAAACAAAGATAAAAAAAAAACGTAGAGAATATTCAAAAGAAAGTGCATAGCTATATAAATGTGTGCGCCAACCCAAAAACACAAAAACAAAAACAAAGAAACTCCACGCAGTAAAATAAAATAAAAAAGAAAGAAAGAGAAAAAAGGAATGATGTATGAGTAACGCCCCCTCCCCCACGACTTCAAGGAAAAAAATGCCAGTTTAACCAACTACCCAACCTGCCTATACAAGAAAGAAAATAACCCCCCACACCAACAGATATATATATAACCTTGAACTTAAGACTCGATAAGGCGGCCTATCCTACCATCATCGGTCTCTAGTCCCAATAGTATCCATAATAACTTCCCAAGCTCCAAGTCGAAAACCGCATACTCCTCTCGGTGGAAAACCTCATCAGATTCCGATCCTTCTCAGCCTCAACCGCCGAGTATGCTGGTGGTGGGGGTGACCCATTCATCGTATCCCGTGATATGGATGAACCGGCCACCCCAAGTTCCTATAATGGAAGATCCTCGAACCCAGATCTTATGGGTGTATACACCCTTGGCTTATAAGGCTGATGGGTTTGTAATCCAAGGTTTAGAGGCTCTGGAGGACCTCTGGTCATTGCTATTGGCAAGGGTGTCAATGGTGGCGGAGGCGAATCTGGGATTGAATGCATCGTATGACGATTGACGACTTGGAGGGGCCCTCGAAGAGGGGGAGGGGGGTTTTTGAGTTTAATTGTCGGCATCATCGGGATTGGCGGTGGTGGTGAAGATCGCCCATGATGAGCACCGCGCGAGGAGAGACCTCGTCTCAAGCGTGTAGACGGACCACGGTTCAATGTGCGCGAAGAAAGGAGACGCTGAAGACGGGGATAGTTAAATAGTTGCGACGCCCGACGGTCACCGAAAGAGGAACTGGATGATGACCGGGAATGCCGGGTAGATGGCGAATCGAAGGCCGATCGTCGGTCTCGGAAAGATTTGCCATAGTAATCTGCTTTCTTCTTATCACTGCGGACACGGGCCCATACAGCTGCGATGACGATAATTATTATAAGACCCCCAACACCAGCACTGGCTGCCCCAAAGATCAAACCCAGGTCAGGAACAGCTGTAAGATCTTTATCACTATTTAAGAGGGAAGACGTTGAAGCTGTCGATTGAGATGCTGAAGTAATGGCAGCGGGGTCTTCGCCCCCTGCGACGCCTTTTGCCTCTTTTGCATTGCTTATCCCAGTGGGAGTTTCCGAAAAGACTGAGGTGGGCGTAGTAGTATCTTTGCCTGGCAAGGTTGTTGAGGTCTCTGCAGCTGGCTGGGATGTTGCAGTCGTAGTTTCTGGCGACTTTGAAGTTGAGCTTGTAACTGGAGCAGGTACAGACATATCAAATGGAGGACTGTATTCGTATGTCCCCGTCAAATCATCTATTATTTGAATACCATATTTATCACCCACGGGCATTTTTGAAGAATCCTCGTAGTCGCTTGGGACGGTCCATGTGTAAGATCCCGAATTCGGAGCAGCCACTTCTCAATGTTAACCTAGATCCACAAAGAACGCGTAATTTCCAATTTTATATCGAGGTATCAACTACGAACCGACAATAGCGCCAAGATCTGAGAGGTTATCTGGAGGACCCTTGAGGATATGTAGTGTGATGGTTCCCGACGTTGTAGGCTATAAGTCGAAGGTGGGGTACACAAGTCAATTGACTGATCTTACAACCTTAAAAAGCGAAATCAACTTACATACCTTCCATGTTATCGTGACTGGGTTTCCTGCATCAACTAAATCTCCGAGGAGTGGATATGTAATGGGATTTTGTCCATTTGTTTCAACACCGTCTGCTGCAGCAAGGATAGAAAAGGCAGAAAACACAGCTACCCAGAGGTAAAAAGATGAAAGACTAAGCTGCATGCTCAGTTCAGCTGATTATAAAAATACCAATACACGAACAGGGAATAATGAAATTTCAGGACTGGAATGAAAAAAAAGGAGAGACTCGGAAAACTATCGTGATGGATGCATGCGTCGTCGTCTTCGTCGACGGCGGGGCCTGCTCAGAAACGATTGAACGTTCACACACACACGTGTGACTGAGAAACAGACGTGTTGGTTGAGATATGGGGAACAGAAACATGAAAGGAAGATCTCGAGTCCGGAGAAATACCCCAACCTGCTCACATCCCCCCCATTTCGGAGAGCTATGTATCCACTTTTTGGCCCTATTCCACATTGGAGGTCAATTTACTGATGCACTTATTACAGCCCGTTCCGCAGCGGGCGCGTAAGGTCCAACCACGAGAATCCAGGTCGAGTGATAAGCGAATCAAAGCTCTAACTAGGAAATATCTTCAATTTGCAAGTGCCAATCCCCTAACCTTCAACGTCCGCCCCTTGAATCTGCAGGTGGGACCGTGCGTTCAATCGCCTCGGCAAGCCCCGTTTAGTGTAACCCGAGACATTATTCAAGCTTCCACAAATGTTCCATGCAAGATTTCAATGCTTCTGTCATGCCTGCAGAGGGTAAACAAATACTCAGAAACGACGTACGAAAAACGAGATCACAGAAATGTTGGAAAATGAGAAAGTCTGACGAACAAATCCTGCATACGATGTTTTTAGGTGCGATGGATAGTTGTTGATCGTGACTACATTCTTGCCCATTTTTTTTTAGAATGAAGTTTTGCAATTATGGTAAACGAATACAAAAGTCAAATTTCCAAGTTTCTAAGGAAAACTCGTGCAAATGTAAAGACAAAGAAGGATTTGGTTTGCTAACAGAATTTCCTAGTTTGCTAATCCCAAATTCCAAACAAAAATAACGGGAAAAGAGATAAAACAACAGGAAACAAGTGGGAAATGGAAAGTCCAAAGAAAGTCTACATGCGTGACAAACCTGCAAATGCCAGACGGAAAGTCGCAAAGGAAATGCACCGAGGCTTAGTCATACATCCTATTAATAGGATATTGACTTATCAGTTATTAGTCCGACCGTGCCTCCGCTTCTCCCACGGCGAATCTGTACAGGACTCGAAAGTGCATAAACGACGAAACGTGATCGTGTCACTTGCCAGTGTGCTCTCAAACTCTCTCTCGACGAAAGCTCGAATCGAAAGAGATATGTCTTGTTTGAAGGTCAGTTGATCCCGATATTCACGTTCTGCCCTGCATCCTTCCTCCTCCTCCTCCTCCCCCTCCCCCTCCACCACCCCCTCTTCTCCGTCTGCCGTTGTTTCTCCTCCCTGAATGCTCCACGGTATCTTTCTCGGGATCTCCTAAGCGCATTTTCCCTAGCCTAACCAAAACATCTTCCTTCTCTGCAGATTCCACATATCTCAAATTGGATTCACGACGCCCTCCAGGAGCTGATTTTTTGTTGTTAAAATTTTGTTGTTGTGTTGATGCTGGGTGTTGTGGTGGCTGTGACGATGGCCTTGCTTGCTGTGTAGGCGGTTTTGGTGAAAGGGCCTTTTGAAAACCAGTTGGAAGGATACGGTTTGAAGGAACACCGTCGAAGAAAAATCGTTCCGTACCATCCAACTCATAGCGAAGCCGCTCCCGAGATTCCATCCCCCTATATTGAACTTGTCTGTGGATCCAGTCCGGGTCGAGACCAAGCTCATAGAGCTGAATTTGAAACGCAATAACCTAAAAACACGTAAGCGCTGAAGACACAAACAAGCCATGTAAAGATCCGAACGTTCACTTTGTGCAGCAGCAGCAGCAGCATTTACTTACATCTACATCGCTTGGATCCAACTTGTCTTTCGAACAATCGCAATCTACCTTCCCGTCACCATGACAAGATCGGCAAGGACCCGGTCTGCGAAAGACTTCGCGTCCATACTTTTTGCAAACATAGTTATAACCCTCCTCCTCACGTAGATCCACCTGCTTCGCAAAACACTGAGGTGCCAAAGTCGCAACGGAATCCATGCTTGCTGTTTGTTGAAACGCGACCGGTGGGAAGTATAGTGGGAACATCTAATTGTCGTATTTGGTTTTAGTTTGGTTGAATGTCCCCTTTATAGCTGCAACTGGGGATTATGAGCATATTGATGAATGATGTATCAGATGTGAACTCGTGAATCGCGATGCGGGGTAGATGCAAGATTGAAATGAAGGTCGGGGGAAAGAGATTGGAAGTGATGGAGTGGTTTGCCCGGCTCTGCTTACCTCACTTGGGGGGGTGGTATGGCGGAAAAAACCCGGTACCGCGACCAGTACACGTGCCAATCACGGGGACGATACACGACTTTTTCTTTTGTCACAGGATCGCACTCGCTGGAACTTCTTGTCATGCATCTATGTGCCTACAGTACTGCAGTTCAGGTATTTAACAGAAATACTTGCTATACAAAGATCTAGAACCAGTGGCGAATTGCAAGTCAGCGGAGTTGTTTCTGTGTGGACCTTATAATTCGATGATGATAATGGGTATATCATAATATATGACTACAACCACATATTATAATTATACTAACTCCTTATATAGAAACACTTGAGTTTCTGAGTCCGCGGCTGTGCCATGCATGTGTGTCATCTATTTCTCGTTAGCCTCCTCTTCATAATCATCTTCACATAAATAATTACCCTCATCTTCAACATCCTGTTATGATCACCGTCGACTTAAATTTTTTGATCAGCGGCAATACATCGGTCTCGAATTCTGCTGAGGCCGGAAAAGGCCACACGTCCCTTTTTTTTTATGTGATATATATTGAGGTCAAGGCATATATATCGACTCCATTACTTCAAAGAGATGGAAAACCAATTTCATTTCAAACTTGCTACACACGTGTACGTAATAACATCTACTACAGTTATTTCCAGGTCATTAATTACAGCACTGCCCTAATAATGAATGGTCTATTGTAATTGAGATAGTGCACTGTACTGTTCCCGTCTTTGCAGTCCTAGGATCGGTCAATTGTCCCTATTCTCCATTGAGTCAGGAACGACTAAGGCTATCACCGCCAGCAAATCATTCCTGGGAAGTCATCTACTTTTAATTGGAAAGGTGGATGAAGATTCAAGTTTAGGTTTTTCATATAAAAATACTCGCAATACCAGCCCCAAAACCTCTATTTTATAATGAAGTATCAAAAACATGGAATAAATACAAAATACCATGCATTAATAAACGATAGTAAACCTCGCCGCCTTAACCACTTAACTTTACACGCATGTTGAGCGTACTCCTACTGAACAAATCTACCACCCCTCAACTATGCTGACCTTTAGCGGAATGCCACCACTAGGTTTGGCTGTAATGCCACCCTTGACAACAATTTCTCTCCCTTCCTCTGCTTCTACGAAGGCAAATTTGCCTATTCATCTCAAAATTAGCATTATATTAAAGAAGAGAGTGGAAAATGGGACATACCAATCATCGCTGCTAACAGACACTTAAACTCCAACTTTGCAAAAACGTTTCCAATACAACCTCTCGGTCCAGCAAGAAATGTCAAAAATGCATAATTGCTCTCACCCTGCCCTTCATTCCACCTATCAGGCCTAAACTGGTCCGCATCTTCACCCCATAGCTCTTTACTCCGGTTGATTGCGTATGGCACAAGAACGATATGAGCTCCCTTGGGAATGAACTGGTCACCGAGCGTTGTGTCTTCGGCTGCATGTCGCGCGGTCAACCTGACTGGCGGATAAATCCGCAAAACTTCAGAGGTTACATTGCGTAAATATTTCAAGGACTCAATCTGCTCATAGGAGACTTTCTCTGGTATTCCATGAGGGTAGGCATCACGTATCTCCTCGCGGAGACGATTCTGTATGTGAATATTCTCCTTAAGAGAGAGAACATAAAGTGCCCAGGTCATTGAAGTAGCGGTAGTTTCATGCCCTGCTGCAAGGAAGGTCATCATTTGATCCCTCATAATCTCGACACCGTCGGGCCCATCGTATTGACCGCTCTTCAACATGACTGAAAGGATATCTCTGTCCGTGACAGCCTTCTTTTCTGCGATCTCCAGCTTTTTGGCATCGATGATTTCAAGGGAAACGCGCTTGACCACCTCTGAAGCTTCCTTTATTTCTTGAGTTCGTTTAATAGGGAGAAGCTTGAGGAACCAGTTTGGAAAGACGAGACGGGCGATATGCATAGCTAGTGCGACAGAAGACGTTTTAAAGATTGTGTTATATGCCTGCGAAAGTTCAGAACCACTCTCAGACGTTGCATCCCCATTCTTGACGGATGCAAGAGCATTAAACTTATACCCAAATCCGGCAAGACCGATGATATCGAGGGTTGCAAGGGAGAACCAATGTGACATGTCGATCACCGGGGTTTCTACAGACGCAGATACAATTTCGCTGATTTTCTCCGTGAGGTCGAGGGAAACATCCCAGAACGTTGGGACTAGGTTTTTGATCTGAGAGTGCGAAAATGCTGGTAACAGAACCTTTCGTTGATGTCTGTGCTCATCGCCCTCACTAAAGAGGATCCCCTGCAATCCTAGGATTCGACCGATACTGTTACGCATAAAGTCTGGTTTGATGAAACTGTAACTCTTCTGATGAAGCGCTTCACTCAGGGTTTTTGCCGAAGTAGGCACGATTCGTTCCCCGTTGAAAAGTCCTCGGTACCGAATCAGACCATTGTTGTTGTGAAGCTCCTCCATCCATTTTAACTGCGGCACTCCACTCGTGTTGCGGTGGATATCAAGGAAGTGACCAAGAAGCCAGTTAGCACCTTTTGGAGTAGGTATGTGCCTGAGTGGTGAGAGCATCAGTGGAAATATAACTGCATCGTAGGCAAAAAGTCCGGTGAGAAGGAGTGTGGATATTCCCAAAAATGTCCAGGTTAAAGATGGGAAATGAACTGGATCATGTCGAGCTAGCAGCAATGATGCAACCGCAGCAGAGGCAAGAATAAGCTTCTTAGACATGATGGGGTTTCCGTGGGGTGCGATATCCTGTGATAAATAATGGAGGTGAAAAATAAATAATGGAGACTGAGGGAGATAGGTATAAGTATTTAGGAATGTTCGGAGTATATGAAAGAATGCTAATAAAAAGATCCATGACGATCAACGTCCACAGCGAAGCTTATATAGATGGCAAGATTGAGACGTGAGGGGGGTGTTCGACTGCATCCAGATGAAATCGAGAGCCCCAAATAAGAATTAGATTTGAGACTGCCAAGTGTCTTAGCGCTTCTCGATAGCAGGCCGAGTACCGGCACGAAATGATTAGAAACACCCTGGGGGTATCAAGTTGCATATGCGTTGCTGAATCGGTTGCCCAAGCCCATGCATTGAATCTCAAGGTTATGATTGGGCGTCTAGTTACTAGTCCCAGGAAGTACGCGTTCGAAGTGTTTCTAAGGATCCCTTGGTATCTGTAGACTGTCCCTACAACCTTAACTTTCCGAAGTCATGGTAGCTAGGGCTTTCAGGTATGAATCATTGCGTATCACTTGGGAGGATAGTGTCACCGATCACCGGCCGCAACAACCTTCACTCCGCCGGCCAAACATTTCATCCCGTAGCTTACCCGGCGGTCAATCATTACCCCGCAACAACAACAACAACCACGGCGCAACGTACGTCAAAAGACACGAGTTCAAAGATTCTAACTTGTTTACTAAATGTAGTTGATCATGATGTGACACGAGTCTCCCCGATGATAAAAATCATACGCCGTTGATTCTTGGCCGATAGCTGGGCCCGTAGGGATAGTGAACGTAATAGCTCTCGTATAGGGGGGATTTGGATGCTTTGGATGCAGGAAGATATTAGTTAATAGATCTAGCTACCGAGTAATCTTTTTAATGGTGGAAATTGCATGTCTCTGAGGTATGCCAACTAGAGTACAAGGGAGGGAGGAAAGGTATTAATAGGGGTGTGCCCGGGGAGCAGGGTGGTACGTTCATGAAAACCAGCGTGATGGCTCATGCTTAGGATATTGGTACATATGATTATCTTGTCGCGGCTATGCTTGGGTAAATTTATATAGTTCTATGCTATATAGAGATGTATATGGTTTTCCGGAAGATTTTAACCTATTTGAATCTAGGTATATAATCGGCGGTAGGATCTCATTGTGTGCCATGCGTGGGGGGGTAATTTAAAGACCAGCATGTCCCACTCTGCTCTATGAATTACTGATGTAGTACATATTATAGGTGACAGCGGAGCCGAGTGAGAAGTCATGTTCTAGAATCCTTTATGCGTTGCATGCAGTGATAAAATCTACCTATATGTGCCCATAGGTTAGGATCCTATATCTCCGTAGGGAGGCTAGCCATGCATATGCATTATCCTGCAGTTATCCAGTTATGTATTTTCTTCACCATTTACTAATATTCCTGTAAATTTACGCTTAGTTATTTAATTTTATGTACTTACTATCTGCTCTTAATAATGAGCAAATCGGATATATACGTATATAATACTCTGCTCAGCCGCGTGGCCATTGTGAACTCTTTGAAATTTGACAGTGGTCTGTTACTTTAGCCGCCCTTGTGTATTTGGAATTCACAATTACTTTCGTCTGATAATAGTTAAACTTCATTTGGATTTCATACATGGATATCGTCATAAAATAGGTTTCGTGTACCCATAAATAAAAGTAATCACGCAATTAAGAACTCTAGACCTCACCAAGTCTAACTGCATGCATACACCTGCTTTTTTTTCGAAGTCTTGGCACTATAATTTATTTACCTACCCCAGATGCTAGAGTTTTATTGAGTCTTCGGACGTTGACATTAATCAACGATATCAATATTGAACAACTTGACAGTAACCATAATCACGACCGTATGTAGAGTAAGCATGTTTGATTATGTAAATACTCCAGCATGTCTCAGTAGCAACTTTAGCTACATAGCCGGCCGATCAGTCGAATATACTCTATTAAGGGTATTTAAGCTTTTAGATGTGTCTTAGGGAGTTTTTAAGCAGTGCCAGTGACGTTGAAAGTGGTTAGAATACCATTTCCGGGTTGTTTTTAAATTTGCTACC